GTGCATTGTCAACAACTTGTCGTTCAAAGACGTAACAAACGACCCGTCCTACGACTGGAAGCAACTGCTTCGGTCTGCCGCTCCGGGTTTCGCTGAGCGCATAATCGGGCAGGGCATCGCCCAGGTTCTCTTTCGCATCATCGAGACAGAGCGCGACCCTAACTACTCCAACACGGATGGCCACGGCAGGCACTTCTTCGAGTTCCGTCGTGCAGACGGTTCAGCCATGCGCCTGCATTACCATAAGAACGGCCGACCCGATGAGCCCACCTATGTCGGTCCACCACGCGCCGTTGCTCAGCCTGCCGTGCCTGAGCCTGGCGCTGCTCAGCCTCATGTTCCTCGTGGCGGCGCTGCTCAGACTGCCGTGCCTGACGGTGGCGCTGCTCAGCCTGCCGAGACTGGCGGTGATGCCCCACTGCTCTTCACACAGGAGCACCTGCAAGAGGCAGCCTGCTCGCGCCAGATTGTGGGCCGCGACGAAGCCAGCGCCGCTCTCCAATCGCTGTTGCACTACCACCATGGCGAGACTGCCCCAGGTGCTGTTGACATCACCGATGGCTCAGCATTTGACTGGCTTCGATGGGTGGCACATATCGAAGGTGCGCGCGACGTCATCCGCAATGGCGTCCACAGGGTCTACGCTGTCCGCTGGAATCCGCACTGGGCTCCAGAGGCCGTCTTCTGCTACGGCAACAACACCTACAGCACACTGGTGCCCCGCAAATCGCGCTACACAGGCTCGTGGAGCCACGCGCGAATTGTGACTCACCGGAACGCCAATTGGGTGACCGAACCGTTGCTATCTGCGGCCCCTGTGGCAGCTACGCCGTGGCTGGTGTTGCGGGATCAAATAACCTGGGAGTGATCTCTGGCAAACGAGATGTGGTGCTTCTCAGCCTGCACTCATGTGACACGCAATGCCGTGCCCTGCAATCGCGTGGTGTTTCTCAGCCTGCACTCGCAGGTCCTTCGGAGGTCAATTGTTATGAGTTCGGCACGGTCTCGGTCAAGTACAGCGTGCTGTGGGGATCCCGAGATGGGGCCTGGCTCAAGGTGCTCAAGACGTACTGGAGTGTCCCAGAGCCGGAGTGCCAGCTGATCCTCGGGAGTTGGAACGGCATTTTCAGGCCGTGGCCGGACACGTTCTGGATCAGGACGGGGGGGTCCGAGCCCGAGATGGAGTGCTAGCGCTCTGCAGTACAAGTGCTTTTCAGCATGCGACATCCTGCGGTGCTTCTCAGCCTGCAGGGTTCGCAGCGTGCGGTTTGCAATGCATTCCTTTTCAGTATGCGAGTTCCTGCGGTGTTTCTCAGGTTGCAGGGCTCCGAGGCTCTTCGCTTCGATGCCAATGTTTTCAGACACCGTAGCTCCGTTCCGTAAACATCTTCCAAGAGCCGCTCGCAACCTTTTGCAGCTGGCGGTCTGCAGACGTAGTCTGTCTCAGCATGCGAGCTCCCGCACGCTTCGCCGGCTTTTGCTGCGCGGACAATTTTCTCACACACGTCAGCGCCGTTTGTAGGCGTCAGAAAAACATGTAGACATTCACGAAGGGCTCAGTCTGTATATCGTCACATCATTACATACGCAGTCGTCGAACACATCGGTGTACATTCAGCGCTTTGTCCTTCTAGCTGGGTCGCTTCGTGCTGAGGCTGAGGCTGATGCAGGCTGAGGCTGAGGCAGGCTGAGGCTGAGGCCGAGGCCGACGGCAGACTGAGGCTGAGGCTGAAGCAGGCTGAGGCTGAGGCAGAGGCAGGCTGAGGCTGAGGCTGAGGCTGAGGCAGGCTGATGCTGAGGCAGGCTGAGGCTGAGGCTGAGGCTGATGCAGGCTGAGGCTGAGGCAGGCTGAGGCTGAGGCCGAGGCTGAAGGCAGACTGATGCTGAGGCTGAAGCAGGCTGAGGCTGAGGCTGAGGCAGGCTGAGGCTGAGGCAGGCTGAGGCTGAGGCTGAGGCAGGCTGAGGCTGAGGCTGTGACTGCGACTGCCGTTGCCACTGCGACTGTCATCGCGAATGCGACTACGACTGCGAGAACAGCAGAATTCTACAACTGGATTCTCATCTGAATCTTAAGGGGAATGCTTCCAGATATGCTCCTACACATCGCTGTTAGGTTGCTTTGCCGGGATAATTTAATTCATTGTTTTGCCGATCGGCGCGGACCCCCCTGGAGTGGCTCTTGGCTGTTTTTAGGCGCCTGTTTCGAGGAGGCTGAGTCCCTCCCCCATGGGGCGCACTGTTGCACACAGCCGCACTGAGCAGAGGTCTGGAGCCAGACCCCCCCGCCCTTCCGCCCAATGTCGAAACGCCGATTAATAACCACAAAAAGAAAAAAGACAAAAAAAAAAAAAAAAAAAAAAAAAAAAAAAAACGCCCACCATCACAACTAGAGCCCGCGACCCCGCCTTCCTGCGCCACGCTCTTCCGAGCCGCACCAGTCTGAGATGGCCCCACAGGGCCCGAGCCCGGCGGAGACGCCCTGCTCGAAGAAATCAAGACGCCAGGACTTCAGGGACCGCGCGGACGGGTGGGGTCGAGGGCTCCTCCTCCTCCTCCTCCTCCTGCTCCTCCTGCTCCTCCTGCTCTTCCTCCTTCTCCTCCTCCTCCTCCTCCTCCTCCTCCTCCTCCTCCTCCTCCTCCTCCTCCTCCTCCCCCTCCTCCCCCTCCTCCCCCTCCTCCTCCTCCCTTCGCCATCCTCCGCGGTGCCGCGGATGACTCGGTCGCGGCGTCGGGGTCTCGGGAGGGGGAGGGGCCGCGCCCCCCGCTTTCACGCCGCCCCCGCGCGCGCGGGCCCGCGCAGGCTCGCCGTGTGCAGCGGTGAGGGGCGTGGAGGAGCACAAAGGCTCGCTGCCCAGCCAGGGGAGGCGAGAGGGAGCGAGGGATAGGGTCGGGCCGGACGAAAGGGGGGGATTGGGAAAGGGGGGGGGGACCAAAATTTGCTGCATGCAGCTGCTTTCGGCCTCGCCGAGGGGCCCATTCCTCGATACATGGCCGCCTCGGGCGCCGAGAGGCGCCGGGGAAATCAGCTACGTGAGCTGATTCTCAAACTCCCCCTTTGCTATCCCCCCCTTTCGCCCGGCCCGGGAGGCGAGAGGGAGCGAGGGATAGGGCAATGGAAGAGTTGGAGCTCGCTCCCCAGTCGGGGCGTGCTTGGACAGACTCGCTGCGGACTAGTGTTGGGGGAAACGGGAGGCTCAAGTTCGCCAGAACTCGGGCTTGCGATTCGCCTACGCTTTTCGACGGGCCCGTCCCGGATTTTGACGGTCCAGTCTTCGTAGGATGCTTGCAGCGGGAGCTCGCGTCAGATTTAAAATTGGGTCTCGCAAGTTTCCTGAAGGCTTCGTCAATCCAACCCGAGAGCCCCGAGCTGGAGTCTTACGTCTCCCCGATGTTGCCCAAACGGAATGGGAGAGGGAGCGAGAGACACTTCCCATCCCCCTGCTGCGACGCAAGAGTCGCCAATCCATGCGCCGCAAAGGCACGGGCAAGAGCGAAAGAAAAAGAACAGAAGGCAGCGGGGGGAGACGAGCCCTTCTTTTGTCCCTTGATCGTCATCCGCCCTCCTGCCCAACGCCCCTCCTCTTCTCCAGGCATTCTGCTCCTCCTGCTGGAGCGTTCGCCGTCAACCGCGCTCGATCCTATGCTTCTCGCCGTCCAGCGCACAGCATAGATAGCAGAGCCGCTTGGCTCAAAGAGTTTGTTTCGGGCATAACCGTTCCACCACAGATCACCTCGGCTGTTGCACTGGTCGCCTTGCCGCCAGGCCCGGAGGAGAAGAAGAAGGAGGAGGACGACGACGACGGCGACGACGGCGGCGGCGGCGACGACGACGACGAAGTAGAGGAGGAGGAGGAGGAGGAGGAGGAGGAGGAGGAGGAGGAGGAGGAGGAGGAGGAGGGAGGAGAGAGGAGAGGAATGAGGAGAGGAGGGAGGGGGAGGAGGAGGAGGAGGAGGGAGGAGGAGGAGAGGAGGAGGAGGAGGAAAGAAGAGAAGGGGAGAGGACTCAGACATCTGACGTCGTGATGTGTTCACCGCGTGGGCCACCGAGCTCCCGACCTAGTCTGTGAGAGGGATTGCTCGTCGCATGCCGTGCTGGGGCCCGAAGCAGGCACTTGAGGCCGAAATCGTGGAAAAACAGACGTCGTGATGTTTCTCGTGAAGCTAAAGATGTCCTGGCATCGCTCGGACGTATGCATTTTTTCTCGGCGAGGGCCATCGAGGAGCATCCTTGATCATTCGGCGAAAAAACCACGCACGAAACCGAAAAAAACACAGGGAATGGACGTCCGAGCGATGGCGAGATGTGGGGCCAGGGCAGGGAAGCTGGCGGCGCGCCAAAGCAGGTGGCGCGTGGGGGGGGGGCGGGGGGGCGGCCTCCTAATCAGTCTGGAGGGCTTCTCAGGAGCCATCCCGGCAAAAAGTCCTCCAGGAAGCTCCCAGGCCGGGCCCCTCTGAGAAGCCCCCCGCCCTCTCAGAAGCCCCCCCCGCCTTCTAAGAAGGCCGCATTCCCTGCGCCAGTCCCTCGTCTCAGGGCCAGGATCAGGAGGGGAAAAAACACACAGACACAACTAATCGTCGATCCCCCATGAAATATAGGAAGATATGGGAAGTGGGGGGGAAGACAAAAACCCAGAAAATATTGGAAATATGGGGAATATTTGTATTTGTGTGTATTTTTTTGTGTGTCCTGGGGCCCCTTCACAGGATGTTCTGAGTTGCTCACAGCGTGGATCCCAGCAGGTCTCCACCCCTTCTGCCGGGCTGGCCTTTCATCCTCCTCCTCCTCCTCCTCCTCCTCCTCCTCCTCCTCCTCCTCCTCCGCCTCCTCCTCCTCCTCCTCCTCCCTTTATATGGTCCCCGGGGCCCCGGGGAGGGCGAGGCCGAAAATAGGAAGAAACAAAAAGCAACAAACGTTTAATGAAATAACACGCCCGTCGTGTTTTGGGTTCGCGAAGCGACGGGGTCTGGGTCGTGCGCACCGCCCGGAAGCGGCCAGGCACATGCCCGGCGTCCCCGGAGGACAGGCCGTCGGAGACGCGGAGCCCAAGGGGCCGGAGGAGCTGCGGCCGCTGGGGGCGGGCGCCAGGAGGGTCCGCGCGAAGTACACGTGCAATCCGGGGTTGCCAGGGGCGCTGAAGTCCACGCCCCAGGCCCCCATGCGTCGTGGAAAAAGCGCGTCGGGAGGTTTTGGGGGGCCCCTTTCGGCCTCTGGGGGCTCTCGCACGGCCCCCGGACCGTCGAGGCACGACTCAGAGGAGAAGAGCATGGTCCCCGGAAGTGGCTCGAGAACTCTGGGGGTCGACGTTGGGAAAAGTCCTGGCGCCGGGGGTGCGGGCCCTCCACCCCCAGACTGGTGGTCTTTGTCTTCGTCTTCTTCTTATGATTCGTCTTCTTCTTCTTCTTATTCGCCTTATTCGTATTATTAGTATGAATATTACTACTACAGTCGGGGCGTTGACCTAAGGAACCCTAAATAAGGAACGAGGCCCCTTTTTTCCATAAGTTAAACTTCGATTCCCTATCGAAAACCTAAGGACAACCTGAAGCAAACTGCGAAACAATCAAGGAACACGGAGCCCCTCCCCAACGAAAAGGGTTCCTTGTTCAGCGCCCCGACTGTACTGCCCCGCCACCTCCTCCATTCGTAACCGCCCGCAGGTCCCCCCGCTGGCTTGTGTCTGTTCCCGCCCGAGTCTGGGGCCACCGCTCGCACTCGGGGCCGCGGCGTGGGATCCCGGGCGTCGTGTATGGCACGAGTGCCGTTCGCGGAATGTTTGCCCCCACGCGTGTCGGGGCTCAAGAGACGGGGGTCAATGCAAACGGGGGTCAGCCAGGGCACCAGATCCTGCAGGATCCTGCGAAGACCCCCTCTGGCTGACCCGGGTTAGCGAGCCGCTCGTGGCCGCGAGGCGGCCGCGCCTATTGGCTGACCCGGGTTTGCGAAGACCTGCGTTGCAGTTTTTTTTGTTTCGCATTGCAGTTTTTGGTTTCCTGCTGACCCCGGTCTGGATTGACCCAGGTCAGAAGACCCCCGAAGTGCCGTTCGCGGAATGTTTGCCCCCACGCGTGTAGCTCGTGTACCTGGCGTGCGGCAGGGCGGCAGGTTGTGATAGTTTTGGAGGCTCCGTCATGTGGTCCGATCCCATCTTCCTCTTTCATATATATATATGGAAGTGGGAATACTATTAAAAATCTTGCAAGACACATAGAACATAATGATGCTTTTATAGATAGATATCAGTTACGCGGAAAATAATACGAATAAAATCATACTAAGCATGGCAATAATCAAAAACAAGAAAAACTCCGCCCACCCGCCCACCGACTTTTGCCCTCGAGGATCGAGGATCGAGGACGGAGGCTTTCAGACGCTTTCGGCACGCTCCCCCCTGAGCCTATCTGTCGCCTGATCCAGACCTCCAGCGTCGTGATTGTTGTCGTGGCGTGACTCCCGAGAGTTTTGGATCCCCTCCCGGGAAATGACCTTTCTCCTGGGCTTTATGATTTTCCAATCGAGTTTAGCCCTGATCACCAGAAAGAGTTCTCGAGCACCAGGAAAGCACCGAAACCTCAAGGGTTTTCACGCGTCGGGCCCTGGGATGCGATGCTCGTTCGACACTGGTTCGATATGTTTCTGGGCGCTGAAGAAATTATTTCTGGGATGTGGTCCTTAAGTACGGTGGGAGCAACGTAACCTGGGCTGTCTTTGTTGGTGGCCCCAGGGGGTCCTCACGACGCGAGGAGGCCAGGGGAGCCCGGCAGCCGAACGGGCCCAGGTTCCAGCATGCCTCGACCGAAGAGCGCCTGCTTCTTTTCGGCCTCCGAGCGGCCGCCCGACCTCCCGGGATGGCCCGTACGCCGGTTGGACTCGCATGCCGAGGGGGCCCGTCTAAGCATCCTAGACTTAAGTCGGGCCTGTCCCCCATACAGGGGGATTGTCGACGAAAAATAAAAAATACCCCAAAAATGGTCCAAAAATAGTCTGGGGGCTATTTTTGGAGTACTTTTTGACCTTTTTTGTGCATGTTGGGGTATTTTTAATTTTTCGTCGAAATCCCCCTGTAGGGGGACACGCCCGACATAATCCTAGATGGGGGCCTGAGAAGATGGGGTCGGAGGATCGCGCCGCATCGCCGAGGCATCGGCGATGCGGCTCGATGCGGAGCCCGACTTTCGCCACGCCGACGGCGCCGACGCATCGCCGACGTCGCCGACGCGTCGCTCATGCATCGGCGATGCGGCGCGATCCCTCGACCCCATCTACCCCGACCCCATCTGGGAGGCCTCTGATGCCGAGTGGGCCCAGAGGGCAACCCTGGAGAGGGGGTCGGCTTCGGGGGAGCGCAGCGGTTCCCCGAGGAGCGTCGGGCTGCGCGGAGAAAGCCCCCCGAGGGCCGCCCAGCCTCGACTGGCCCCCGGGTCAGGGCCGTCTCGGCACCCCCTGGCGCCGCCTCCATCGGCGCCCCTGGGGCGCTCTTCGCGCCTGCGCTGGCCCATGGGGCTTACTGATGCGCAGCCCCTGGCCTCGCCTGATTCGCTCAGGGGGCAGAACAGGAAACCCGCTCTCCCCCCCCCCGAGTCGCGAAAAAAGCATGGCGGGAGGTGCGTCTCGATTTTCTGTTTTGGGGGCCCTCACCGGGCCTCGGGACCGTCGAAAAACGATTCGGGATGAAAGACCTGTCCTGGGGAATGGGCCACTACCTCGGGTCGACGTTCTGAAAAATTCATGAAGTCGGGGGCCCGGGAACGCACACCCCCCATCGCCCACTCATCGCCGATCAGGGCTTGTGGGCTCCACGCTGGCCTGGGAGCGTGAGGCTTCGCAGCCGGGGGCGGTCGCCGAAGTACATCGGCGACGTCGCCTCTGGGCCGACGCTTTCCCGCTGGAGCCCATTCCCCGCACTCCGGCTCCCAGTCAGGTACACGGACGCGACGGACTGCTTCTGCGTACGGTTTTCGCCCGACGACCAGTACCTCGCCGCCTCCTTCTCGAACGGCGCGGTGCACGTGTTCGATGCGGCGACCGGGAAGCAGGAGTTCGTGCTCAACGCGCCAAGCGAGGCGGAGCAGGGCAAGCTCAGCGCGCCCCTGCCCACCACGCAGCTGCGCTGGCGCCCACACTCCGCGCAGTCCAAGACGAAGAGCGTGCTGATCTCCGTCAACGCGGAGTTCGACGGCCAGGTCTTGCACTGGCACATCAAGTCGGGCAAATGCTTGCACACCATCACCGAGCGCGGGAACCAGCTGTTCTGCATCGACTATTTCAGCGACGGGAGCCAGTTCGCCACCGCTGGTCGCGACGGCTCCTCAGCCTTTGCTGCAGCGATCGCAGCGATTGTTGGACTCGCGTTGATTCACCAAACAGTGCTCAGACTAGGGTCGCGGGAGGAAAAAACACCTGGACCGGACGACTGGCGTTTATTAGACGGCCCTGGGCGTTTACGAAACAGCCCTGCCACGCTTGGTTCCTTCTTTGGGTGCGTTTACTACCCGGCTTCGCGTGTCGGGGTGGTTATCATCGGGTGGATTTTCTGCCCTCTATAAGGGGTTCTTGCATGCGTTCTCAGTTTTTGGGTGGTTCTGCCGATGGCTCGCCCGGTGGGCGGCCATGGGGGGCCTTGTGAGCGCCTTGTGCTCAGGAGGGAAAAAACACAGACACAATTAATTGTCGATCCCCCAGAAAATATGGGAAAATATGAAAAGTGGGGGGGGAAGACAAAAACCAAGAAAATATGGGAAAATATGTTTATGTGTGTGTATTTGTTTGTGTGTCCTGGGGCCCCTTCATGCGCTGCGCTGGCTGGGTCCGCCGGGGTCTCGCCGGGAGGGCGGCCCGTGGGCGCCTTCGCGGGCGCCCCCGTGCGCCGACTGGGTCTGCCGAGGTCTCGCCGGGGTTGTCGGCCGTGGGCGCCTGTTGGGCGCCTCGCGCTGCTTGCGCTAATGGAGGGTGACGATTAATAAATGACCGGGGGTCGTGTTCACGCGGCGGCGCCCGGGATGAGGATTAGAGAAAACCGGCCGCGGGCTGGAAAACTATGTTTTTTAACCCTTCTCCTCCAGTCAGAAAATTATGCAGAAGTCGCAGAAAACTATGTTTTTAATCGTTCTCTCCCATTTTGTTGTTAATCGTCATCCCGCATTACTGAAAAAAATTGGCACAATGCCCAACAGCGGTTCCTGCTCATTTTGAACAGGGCTCGCTGTCGGCGTCGCCGCGGCCTGTGTACGTTTGAGACAGAGGGCCGCCTGCCCAACAGCGGCCGCTGTTGGTATGGGACAACATGTGTTGTTGGGCATTGTGCCCATTTTTGTCCGTACCTATTTCGGGCGTCCAAAGCTACAGTGGGGGCGCGCATCAAGAAACCATATATTTTTCGTCAGGGTACCTTGGGTTTCTTGGCTCCGCACGCTGCGCGGTGACTTCCCGCGGCCGTTGAAGGAGCTGCTGCGTTCGGGGTACCCCGGACTTCCCCCCAGTCGCACCTCTCGTGCGGGTCTTCAGGGCTGGGTTTCTTGCGAGGGTGTCTTGCGGCCGCGCCCGCACTGTGCATTGGTTGCATGACGTAGCTTGCACCTGTGTGCATACACCTCGCAGTTTACGCCGCAGATCTTCCACCACACAGCAGTCATCACGTAGCTTCCACCACATAGCTGGCGCCACACGTCGCTTGCACCGCACTGCTTACGCCACGTAGCTTCCACCAGACGTATATTATGCCTCATCATGCGCAAGTTCACCACATTGCTTGCACACCCAGAGTTCAAGAGCTCACTGTTTGAGATCCACGCTGGTAAACGTGTTGTCGTTGTCACCCAATCGCATGATCGCAGTTGAGGTTTGCTGTGATTCTACGCGTGATCAGGTCGGGGGTGATCGGGGTCGGGGATGTGGATTGGCGAATCGGTCGTGCGGCTACAGAATGAGGACCGAATCGTTCGCATCTACGACGAGGCCACGAAACGGATGACGCAGGAGCTGTCATCAGGGGATTTGAAGGAGTCCGCAGGGCATTCCAATCGGGTCTTCTCGCTCAGTTACCACCCCACCGATCCGAACATATTGATATCTGGCGGCTGGGATAACACGGTGCAGATGTGGGACGTGCGCCGGGGCCACTCTATCAGGTCGCTCTGGAATTGCTACATATGCGGGGATTCAGTGGACTTCTCGAACGATGGCGCACGCATCCTGACTGGGTCGTGGCGTCCTGAGGACGCGCTCCAGATCTGGGATACGGGCACAGGCAAGGTTATCGAGACAGTGGACTGGCGCGCCTCCACGGGGCAGACGTCGATGCTGTTTGGCGCGCAGTTCAGCAAGGACCCGGAGAGCAGCATGATCCTCGCAGGGGGGTCCCAAGACAACGAGGCGAAGTTCTTCGATTGCTCTGGCGGCCAGACAGCAACGCCCTTCGGAGCCCTCGTGAACCTCAGGAAGTCTCAGGGCGGAACACCCGCCCCCTGCCTCTGACGTCGTGCTCGCCCCCCTGCCAACTCGTCCCCCCCCCCTCCTCCTCCCCCTCCTCCTCCTCCTCCTCCCCTCCTCCTCCTCCTCCTCCTCCTCCTCCTCCTCCTCCTCCTCCTCCTCCTCCTCCTCCTCCTCCTCCTCCTCCTCCCCCTTCTCCCCTCCTCCTCCTCCCTCCTCCTCCTCCTCCTCCTCCTCCTCCTCCACAATTACACAATATGAAAATACTCTCCCACTTCCCCTGATGGCGTCCCGAAGATGGCCGACCCCCCCCCCGCGTACTGTTTTTTTACACACAGGATTCCCGGGAAACGGGTTTTCGCCTGCGTTTTTTTTCAAAATGCTGCTCTCGCTGAGGCGCCGGCCTCATTTCTGCTCCCGAATCGTTCCGAATCGTGCTCCCGCTGCAGCGTGGGCCTCATTTTCGGATCGGTGTTTGGCCTCCGTCGTTCAGGATGGCGTTCTCGCCCCAGCGCGGGCCTCTTTCTCGCGCGCCCATCCGCCCGCCACCACCGCGCCGCACCACCACCACCACCACCCACCACCACCACCACCACCACCATCACAACCACCACCACCACCACCAGCACCAGCCACCACCACCACACCACCACCACCAACACGCACACACGCACACACGCACGCACGCACGCGCACCACCACCCACTACGCACGCGCGCGCGGAGCCACAGGTCCCGCTACGACACGCGTCCGCGATAGAGAAAATCAGCGCCATGTTATGGGTTGGGTGGGTGGGGTAGGACGTCAGATATGACGCGAGCGCACCTAGCTTGTCCTCCTCCCCCTCCTCCTCCTCCTCCTCCTCCACCTCCTCCTCCTTTCTCACTCTCTCTCTCTCTCTCTCTCTCTCTCCCTCGCGCGCACTCTCTCTCTCTTGGCCTCTGAGTTCTCCGACCGCGCCCGCCCCCCCCCCCAGGGTCGGTCGGGGCTGGGGGCCGTACCCTGGGCCGAGGTAGAAGGTCGAGGTCGGCTCGGGGAGGGCACCCTGGTGCTACTTCGCGTCTGTTGCAGCCCGGTCTGGTGTGCCCTCGAAGGCTCTTTAGTTTTCGGGGGCGGCAAAGAGGGGGGTGATGGCTTGGGGGGGGGGAGATCATGGCGCGGGCCATGGTTTTTCCTCAGATTTCACGGCGCCTCTTCTTATTTCATTACGTCCCTTGTCCCCCCCGTTGGGCCGCGCACATGCCGCCGGTCATGGTTTGCACCCCCCCCCCGTCTTGGACACCCCCGTCTTGGCCGCTCCCGAAGTTTGGCCGGCGGAGGGTCCTCCTCCTCCTCCTCATCCCCTCCTCCTCCTCCTCCTTCTCCTCCGCCTCCGCCTCCTCCTCCTCCTCCTCCTCCTCCTCCTCCTCCTCCTCCTCCTCCTCCTCCTCCTCCTCCTCCTCCCTCCTCCTCCTCCTCCTCCTCCCAAGCTCTTGAGGGAGGCTCGTCTGTCCCGGGGGTCCGACTGTATATGACGGGCGGGGGGTCAACAGAGCGCCGGCTGTGGCGTGCCGCTCCGCAGGAAGCCCGTCTTCAGCCTGGACTGGTCGCCCAACTCGAAGCTGGCGGCGATCGGCTGCGCCGACGGGCAGGTCCGCGTGCTGGAGGTCATGTGAGGCGCCCTTTACCCCTCCGCGCAGAGCCCGCTCGGACGCGCGCTTCGCCAGCAGGGATCGTGGGGGCGCGCACGGATCAGGAGGGGAAAAAACACACAGACACAATTAATCGTCGATTCCCAAGAAAATATGGGAAAATATGGGAAGTGGGGGGGAAGACAAAAACACAGAAAATATATGAAAATATGGGGAATCCGGTTATTTGTGTGTATTTATTTGTGTGTCCCAGGGCCCCTTCAACGGAGGCGGCCCCCGGAGGCAGCCCGACGCCGTGATCGGTGTCACGCCGTGGACCTCCAGAGGTCAGCCGCGCGCAGAGGGGCCGGGCATCGCTCGGACGTGTACTTTTTTTCTTCGGCGAGGACCCTTCAGGACCATCCTGGACCATCGAGCAAAAAAAAAAACGCACGAGACCGAAAAATGCACGCGAAATGGACGTCCGAGTGATGGCAGGGGGGGGTGGGGGAAGGGGGGGAGGGCTTCTTGGAAGCACCCCAGCTTCTTAGAGGGCGCGGGCCGTCTCTATAGATGCAAGGCCGGCGCCTTCTAAGGAGCAGCCTACTTCTAAGAAGCCCTCCCCCTCCCCTCCCTCCACCCCCTTGTGCGCGCCGCCAAAGAGGTCTGGACCCTCTCCCAGGGACCGGCGTTTCATCCTGAGCCGTTCCTGTTGGCAGTCCCGGGGCCCCGCATGAGACTCCATCTGCAGATGCCGATGCGGTCGGAACGAGGTATAAGTTATAAGGTCGAGGTCGGCTCGGGGAGGGTACCCTAGTGTTTCTTCGTGCTTGTTGCACGTTCTTGTGCTCCCTGGTCGGGGGGTCCCCTCGAATGTTCTTCAGTTTGACCGGCGGAGGGCCCTATGTTCTTGAAGGATGTTCTTCTGTCCTAGGTCCGACTGTGTCTTACAGGCGTCGGCAGTGCCCCCAGGCATCCCTGCACGGAGGTGCTGTGTCGTGGTGCTGCCCGCTCCCTCTCCCCCCCTCCCAGATCGCGCACGCGCGGTGCCACACGGAACAGAAGGCCCCGCAGATGCCGAAAACGGCCCAGCACTGCCCGTCGTGGCTTGGCCTCCTCACGACGCGAGGGGGCCTCCGAGGCAGGGCCTCGGCAGCACCAGCTCCCCGGGGGCGGGCGCGCGGCGCCCCCTATTTGAGGGCACCGCAGGAGGCTGCGCGGGCGGGGGCGCCGCGGCCGCCCTGGGCTCCTCCTCCTATCCTCCTCCTCCTCCCCCTCCTCCTCCTCTCCTCCTCCTCCTCCTCCTCCCCTCCTCCCCTCCTCCTCCTCCTCCCTCCTCATCCTCCTCCTCCTCCTCCTCTCCCTTTCCCTCCCCCCTCCCCCGCCTCTCCCCTCCCCTCTCCCCTTCCTCCTCTCCTCCTTCCTCTCCCTCCTCTCTCCTCCTCTCTTCCTCCTCCCTCCCTCCTCCTCCTCCTCCTCCTCCCCTCCTCTCCTACCTCCTCCTCCCTCCTCCTCCTCCTCCTCCTCCTCCTCCTCCTCCTCCTCCTCCTCCTCCTCACCCTGGGGGGCTGCCTGCCTGCGCATGGCCGCGAGCCTGTCCTGGGGGCCAGACCCCCTCGAGTCGCCCAGAAGTCGGGGGCGGCAAAGAGAGGGGTGATGACAAAGGGGGGGAGATCATGGCGTGGGCCATGATATGTCCCCAGAATTCATGGCGCCTCTTCTCATTTCGTGACGTCCCTGGCCCCCCCGCTGGGCCGCGCACATGCCGCCGGTCATGATTTGCACCCCCCCCTCTTGGACACCCCCCTCTCGGACGCCCCGAGGCGTGGGCACGCCAAGAGCAAGAAGCCGGCCCGCCAGCGGGTGCCCCACGAGAGGCCTCCACCTCCCAGCGGGCCCGCAGAGCCCTGGGGGGCGCCCCACGAGGCTCAGAGTCGGCGAGGGCCGTGCCCTTAGATCGAAGAGGCCTTGCGGCTGGTGCCGCCGACGCTGAACGACGAAGTTGACGACGACGACGACGAGGAGGAGGAGGAGGAGGAGGAGGACGACGGCGACGAGGACGACGACGACGACGACGACGACGACGACGACGACGACGACGACGACGACGACGACGACGACGATGTAGATCACCCGCGGGGGCGCGAAGGTGGCCGCACTTCGCGCGTCGTGCACCCTGGGCCGGAGAGCTGCCCTTCCGCGGGGGTGCGGCGCCAGGGGTCGGCACGGACTGCGCTGCGCGCAGCGCCCGGGGCGCGAAGTGTGGCGCGCAGCGCCCGGGGCGCGAAGTGTGGCGCTGCAAGCAGGGCTTCGCCTTCCAGGATCGAAGGACTTGTCATCGCTCGGACGTGTGCCTCTTTTCTCGGCGAGAACCAACGAGGACCATCCTGGACCATCGAGCAAAAAAAAATCACGCACGAAACCGACAAATGCACGGGAAGTGGACGTCCGAGCGACGGCAAGTCGAAAGACTTGTCATCTCCTCCTCGGCGGAAGGTTGGCGGAAGGCGGCGGAAGGGAAACGGCGGCGGCTCCGCCGGCGGAAGCTCGGCGGAGGCCGGCCGGGTTTCCGGAATTCGCCAACTATGTGGCTGTCCTGGCCTTGGAAGAGGGACGCAGCTCTCGCGCGTGGTCCGTCTCCCCGCGCCCCTCGGGTTCACTGCTCGCGCGGATCAGCCGCGCGCAGAGGGGGGTGGGGGGAGGGGGGAGGGCTTCTTAGAAGCACCCCTGCTTCTTAGAAGGCGCGGGCCGTATCTAAAGACGTAAGGCCGGCGCCTTCTAAGAAGCAGCCTCCTTCTAAGAAGCCCTCCCCCCTCCCTTCACCCCCTTGTGCGCGCCGCCAAGCGGGGGCGACTCGCGATTCGATGTGGTTTGCCTTCGGCGGCGGCTTCCTCGGCGTTGAGGTCGGGGGTCGGGGGGCAAGAAATCCGGAGAAAGAGATGCGTCCCGGGGCCGGTGGGGTGGTCTCCGCGTTTTGTTGTCGGCCAGAGGTTGCGAGAGCTGGTCCCGGTACAAGGTGCGCCCAGTTTTGCGCGCCGTTCTGGGCCCCGCCCCTGGGGCCCTCTGGGCCTCGTGGGAGGGGCATCCTGCGGGGGCAGCGCTAGGGGGGGGGGTAGGCATAGGGGGGGGGGGGGATGCATCGACCCCCAATCGCCCGTTGATCGCCGATAGGGGCCCGAGAGCCCCAACCCGCCCAGGAAGGTGCGGATGCGCTATCGGGCGCCGACCGCCGCTCTCTCGGCGAGGCATCGCCGATGCAAAGCCGATGCGTCCCCCCCCCCTGCCTACATCCCCCCTGTCGTGGCCCCTCAACTCTCGGTCGGGGGTCCACGCACAGGGGCGGCGACCACTCAGGAGGCAAAAAAAAACACAGACACAATTAGTCGTCTATTCCCAAGAAAGTATGGGAAATCATGGGAAGTGGGGGGGGGGAAGACAAAAACCCAGAAAATATGAGGAAATATGGGGAGTCTTTTTGATGTGTGTGTATTTATTTGTGTGTCCCAGGGCCCCTTCAACCACACCGTGCTGTGAGCCAGTGCGGCATCGTGGTGGCCGCACGGGTTTGGAGCTGTTTTGGGTCGCTCTCATCGGGGGCGCCTCGGGCGGCGGCAGGCCTCCAGGGCCCCCAAGAAGTCGTGGGGCGGCCGGCCGCGCGGTGAGGCCCCGCGGGATGTCGCGAGGTCGCCGCGCGGCCTGTCACCGCACTGTCTTCGGCGGCGGCAAAAAGGGGGGGGATGACTAGGGCCCAGGGGGGGGGGATTTCTCATGGTGGGGGCCATGATATTTCCCCAGATGTTATAGCGCCTCTTCTCATCTCAGTACGTCCCTGGCCCCCCCGCTGGGCCGCGCACATGCCCCCGGTCATGATTTGCACCCCCCCCCCCTCTTGGACACCCCCCTCTTTGCCGCTCCCGATGTTTTGGAACCCCGAATTTGGGAGGCTGCTTTTCTTTGGATCCTGGCAAGCCTAGTTGCACGGAGGGGGGGGGGGAGCGCGGCGAGGCCAGGGAGCGAGGCCTGGGCATCACACCAGTTGGGAATCGCTTGCACGCCTGTTCGGCCTGACGCTGCTTGACTGCCTGAAAAGGCGGCGGAGGGGAGGGGCGGAGGGAGAGAGAGGTCGTGCAAGGAAATCCGCTCGAGCCTGAAAACTGTGGGAGTGTTCCTTATACGGGATGTGCCCCCGGAGTCCCCAGACCCCAGAGGATCCTTGAGCTAATGAAGCGGGGGCGGACAGAACCCCCAACAGTGACACGTCGATTAGTGAATTGTCCGTTTTCGGTTCTCGAGATGGCGCCGTGGCCGTTCTTTTCCAGGCTTGCGCCCGCCAGGTTTGGGCCTCAGGTCGTTTTCACTGAACCACGTTCTAGGGTCTGTCCATCCCCGACAAGGAGTGCGGCGGCGGTGTCCGTAGCCAACCCACGATTGGAGCTCCAGTTCCTGCGGCTCCCGGGCCCCGGATTCCTCCTCCTCTTCTTCCTCCTCCTCCTCTTCTTCTTCTTCCTCCTCCTCCTCCTCCTCCATTGATCCCGGGCGCGGAGACAGAGCGTCTGCAGGGCGGCGCGCACGCCGAGGCGCGCGGAGCGACCGGGGCGGCAGCGGAGGCAGGACCTGCGCTGCAGGCAGCGAGCCCACGGAGGGCAAAAAGTCCACGCCTCCCAAGTTTCGGGGGCGGAAAAGAGAGGGGTGATGGCTAGGAGGGGGGTGGATTTCATGGCGCGGGCCATGATACTTCCTCAGATGTCATGGCGCCTCTTCTCATCTCAGTACGTCCCTGGCCCCCCCGCTGGGCCGCGCACATGCCGCCGGTCATGACTTGCACCCCCCTCTCTTGGACACCCCCCTCTTGGCCGCTCCCGACCAAGGGGGTCGGAGTGGCTGGGGTCCGAGGATCGCGCCGCATCGCCGATGCATCGGCGGTGCGGCTCGCTGTGGAGCCCGATCTTCTCCGCGCCGACGGGGCCGCTACATCGCCGACGGCGCCGCTGCATCGGCGATGCGGCGCGATCCTCTGGCCCCACATACTCGGACCCCGCTTGGGAGGCCTCTGGGAAAACTGCCGAAGGCAAACATTATTCTGCAGGCAAGAACGCTTGCCTCACTGAAGGAAAGATGCTCTGCCTGCCGCGAGCTCCCTGAAGGCGCCTACGGTGGAGAACCATGCCAAGAAGCACCCTGCTTGCCTCCAGGGTGCCCTGGGTCCCTTGGGCTTCGATGGCTCTGCCACGGAGAGCGTGACGCCCCCACACCAGAAAAGTCGATGGCCTCTGTGGGGCCTCAGGGTTGGGCTTCTTGTGGAAGCTTTCTTGTGGGTTTCCTGTGGGGCTCTGTGGGTTGCTTGTGGGCTTTGTGGGGCCTCAGGGTTGGGCTTCTTTGTGGGACTTTGGGGGCTTCTTGTGGGTTGCTTGTGGGACTTTTGTGGGGCCTCAGGGCGGGGTTTCTTTGTGGGACTTTGTGGGCTTCTTGTGGCAGCTTTCTTGTGGTCGAGCTCCTGCTGTGTGTGGCCCGCCCCCGGGCAGCGGGGCTCCGGGCGGCGCCAGGGCCACCTCCGGCAGCGCCCGGCGTCGGCCCCCCCCCGCGGGAGCCCACGCCGCCGCGCGGCGGGGCCTCGGCCGCGGGCCCCGCCCGCGGCGCGCCGCGCGGGCGGCCGCGGCTGCCGCGGGGCCGCGCGCGCCCGCCGGGGCGCACGAGCGACGGGCAGCGCCCGCGCGCGGGCAGGGCTCGGCAGCTCCCGCGCCGCGTCGGATGCCCGCGGGCCTGCCGGAATGGAGGGCGGGCACGGGGGGCCACGGAGGCTGTGCACGTCCGCCGCCCTCCTCCTCCTCCTCCTCCTCCTCCTCCTCCTCCTCCTCCTCCTCATCCGCCTCCTCCTCCTCCTCCTCCTCCTCCCCCTCCTCCTCCCTCCTCCTCCCTCCTCCTCCTCCTCCTCCTCCTCCTCCTCCTCCTCCTCCTCCTACTGGGACAGTGGATCTGTGCAGAGCCCGTCGCCCTAGCACAGGGGCCCTCCTTCGCACAGGCGACAGTACGCTGCCGAAGCTGTTTCAACTCCTTCCGTCGCTCTGCGGCGGCTCGCCCTGCGCTGGCCTCGGCCTTGCGACGTCGTGCATCGCGTTCCACGGTCTCGCAGAAAAAGAGTTGCGGAGGGAGGGAGCAAGCAGCAGGGCCCCCGCGCGCCCTCGGAAGACCACAGGGACCGCTGCCGAAGCTGTTTCAACTCCTTCCGTCGCTCTGCGGCGGCTCGCCCTGCGCTGGCCTCGGCCTTGCGACGTCGTGCATCGCGTTCCACGGTCTCGCAGAAAAAGAGTTGCGGAGGGAGGGAGCAAGCAGCAGGGCCCCCGCGCGCCCTCGGAAGACCAAGGGACCGCGGAGCGCGGCTGTGGAAGGCCAGGCTCACGAGCGGCGAGCATGTCCATATCAGTTCAGTTGCGCGCAAGGGTAGGCCTCCGCAGGAGCGCCCTCCTGCTGCGGGCCCACGGGCGTCCCCCGAGCACTGGCCTGCTCGTCTGGAGCTGGCCCCCCCCGGCGGCCGCCTGGAGCCGCGCACCATAGGCCGCCCGTGCGCAGCGCGACGCATCTGCGCGCAGCATACCTCAGGAGGAGAAAAAACACACAGACACAATTAACCGTCGATCCCCCCGAAAATATGGGAAAATGTGGGAAGTGGGGGGGAAGACAGAAACCCAGAAAATATGGGGAAATATGGGGAATCCGGTGATTTGTGTGTATTTTGTGTGTCCTTGGGCCCCTTGAATACCCCTGTCCCCCTGGGTCTGGCTGCCGAGGCCCGAGCACGTGGATGCGAAATCCCGCGGAGGCGTGCCGCGCAGTGGCGCCCGCGGAGGGCCGCCATCCGTGGGGCCGCGGCCGAGGAGTCCGGCCCGCGGGGGCGCGGATGTGACGCCGTGTCCCGCCCAGGGCGGGCGGCTGATGCATCAGCGATGCTTCGTCGTCGACGCCCTCGCCCTCGCCCTCACCCTCGTCGTCGTCGTCGTCGACGTCGTCGTCGCCGCCGCCGTCGTCGTCGCGGTCGCTATGGGGACAGCGCCAATGCAGCGGCGAGACGTCGCCGATCGTCGGTCGGTCGGTCGGTCGGTCGTCGTCGTCGTCGGTCGTCGGCGTCGTCGTCGGTCCTCGGTCGTCGGTCCTCGGTCGTCGATCGTTGGTCGTCGGTCGTCGGTCGTCGGTTGTCGATCGTCGGTCGTCGGCGTCGTCAGCGTCCGTCGTCGTGGTCGTCGTCGTCGTCGTCGACGTGGTCGTCCTCGTCGTCGTTGTCGACGTCGGTCGTCGTGGTCGTCAGTCGTCGGTTGTCGATGTCGTCGTCGTCGTTGCCGTCGTTGTCGTCGTCGACGTCGTCGTCGTCGTCGCCGTTGTCGTAGTCGTTGTCGGTCGTTCTGGTCGTCGTCGTCGTCGTCCATCCTCCATCGTCGTCGTCGTCGTCGTCGTCGTCGGTCGTCGGTCGTCGGTCGTCGGTCGTCAGTCGTCGGTCGTCGGTCGTCGTTGTCGTCGTCGTCGCTGCGGTCGTCGTTGACGTCGTCGGTCGTCGGTCCTCGGTCGTCGGTCGTCTTTCGTCGGTCGTCGGTAGTCGGTAGTCGGTCGTCGGTCGTTGGTTGTCGGTCGTCGTCGTCGGTCGTCGTGGTCGTCGTAATCGTCGTCGCCGTTGTCGTCGTCGTCGTCGTCAGTCGTCGTCCGTCGTCGTCGTGTCGTCGTCGTGGTCGTCGTGGCCGTCGTCGGTCGCCGGTCATCGTCGGTCGTCGCTCGGCAGTCGTCGGTCTTGTTCGGTCGTCGGTCGTCGATCGTCTTCGTTGTCTTCGGTCGTCGGTCGTCGGGTGAATTCGGGGGACGGGAGTCGATCGTCGTCGTCGTTTGTCGTGGCCGTCGTCGGTCGTCGTCGTCGTCGTCGTCATCGTCGTCGTCGTCGGTCGTCGGTCGTCGGTCGGCAGACGTCGGTCGCGTGTTCGGTCGTCGGTCGTCGGTCGTCGTGGTCGTTGGTCGGTCGTCGGTCGCGTCTTCGGCCGTCGGTCGTCCGGTCGTCGGGCGCGTTCGGGGGACGGGAGTCGATCGTCGTCAGTCGTCGTCAGTCGTCGTCGTTGATGTCGTTCGTCGGTCGTCGTCGTCGCCGTCGTCGTTGTCGTCGTCGGTCGTCGTCGGTCGTCGTGGTCGTCGGTCGTCGTCGTCGTCATCATCGTCAGTCGCGTGCTCGGTCGTCGATCGTCATCGTAGTTGTCGTGGTCGTTGTCGATGTCGTCGTCGTCGTTGTCGTCGTGGTCGTCGGTCGTCGGTCGTCCTCGTCGTCGTCGCGTCGTCGTGGTCGTGGTTGTCGTGGTCGTCGTCGGTCGTCGTCGTCGTCGTCATTGTCGTGGTCGTCGTCGATGTCGTCGTCGTCGTCGTCGGTCGTTGGTCGTCGGTGGTCAGTCGTGTGTTGCGTTTTCGGTCGTCTGTCGTGGATCGTCGTCGTCGGTCGTCGGTCGTCTGTCGCGTTTGGAAGTCGGGAGTCGGGAGTCGGTTGTCGTCGTCGTCCATTGTCGTCGTCGTGATCGCGGTCGTCGTCATCGTCGTCGTCGGTCGTCGTGGTCGTCGTTGTCGTCGCCGTCGTCGTCCATCGTCTGTCGTCGGTCGTCGTCGTCGGTCGTCGGTCGACAGTCGTCGGTCGTCGGTCGTCGTCGTCTGTCGTCGTCGCCGTCGTCGTCGTCGTCGGTCATTTGTCGTCGGTCGTCGTCGTCGGTCGTCGGTCGTCGTCGTCGTCGGTCGTCGGTCGACAGTCGTCGTTGTCGTCGATGTCGTCGTCGTCTTCGTCGTCGTCGTCTGCGTCGTCGTCGTCGGTCGTCGGTCGTCAGTCGTCGGTCGCGTTTTCGGTCGTGGGACGTCGGGCGTCGTCGTCGGTCGTCGGTCGTCGGTGGCATTCGGCAGTCGGCAGTCGGCCGTCGGCCGTCGTCGTTGTACATCGTCGTCGTCGTCGGTCCTCGGTCGTCGACGTCGGTCGTCGACGTACTCGTCGGTCGTCCGTTGTCGGTCGTCGGTCGTCGTCGTCGTCGTCTGTCGCTGGCGGTCGTCGTCGTCGTCGGCGATGTCGCAGCCGTCGTCGTCGTCGCCGTCGTCGTCGTCGTCGTCGGTCGCCGTCGCCGCTTGTCGGTCGTCGGTCGTCGTCGTCGTCGGTCGTCAGTCGTCGGTCGTCGGTGGTCGCCGTTGGGAGTCGGTCGTCGGTCGTCGTGGCCGTTGGGAGTAGGGAGTCGGCAGTTGGCAGTAGGTCGGTCGGACATCGTCGTCATCGTCGTCTTCGTCGTCGTCGGTCGGTCGGACATCGTCGTCATCGTCGTCGGTCGGACATCGTCGTCATCGTCGTCGTCGTTGTCGTTGTCGTCGGTCGTCGGTCGCCTGTCGTCCGTCGTCGGGCGTCGTCGTCGTCATCGCCGTCCTCGGTCGCGTTTTCGGTCGCTTGTCGTCGATCGTCGGACGTCGTGGCCGTCGTGGCCGTCGTCGTCGTCGTCGTCGTCGCCGCCGTCGTCCGTCGTCGTCGGTCGTCGCCGCCGTCGGTCGTCGTCGTCGTCGGTCGTCGCCGTTGTCGTCGATGTCGTCGTCGTCTTCGTCGTCGTGGTCGCCGTCGGTCGTCGGTCTTCGTCGTCTTCGGTCGTCAGTCGTCGGTCGCGTTTTCGGTCGTCGATCGTCGGTCGTCGTCGTCGGTCGTCGTCGTCGGTCGTCGGTCGTCGGTGGCGTTCGGCAGTCGAGAGTCGCCCGTCGGCCGTCGTCGTCATACATCGTCGTCGTCGGTCGCTCGTCGTCGATGTCGTCAGTCGTCGTCGTCCTCGTCCGTCGTCAGTTGTCGGTCGTCGTTCGTTGTCGTCGTCGTCGTCGTCTGTCGTCGTCGTCGTCGGTCGTCGTCGTCGGTCGTCGTCGTTGTCGTGGTCGCCGTCGGTCGTCGGTCGTCGTCGTCGGTCGTCAGTCGTCTGTCAAGTGTTCCGTCGTCGGTCGTCGGTCGTCGCCGTCAGTCGTCGTCGGCGGTCTTCGGTCGTCGGTCGCGTTCGGAAGTTGGGAGTAGGGAGTCGGTCGTTGGTCGTCGTCGGTCGTACATCGTCGTCATCGTCGTCGTCGTTGTCGGCGTCGTCGGTTGTCGGTCGCCTGTCGTCAGTCGTCGTCGTCGTCATCGCCGTCGTCGGTCGCGTTTTCGGTCGTCGGTCGTCGGTCGTCGTGGCCGTGGTGGCCGTCGTCATCGTCGCCGTCGTCGTCGTCGTTGGCCGTCGTCGTCGGTCGTCGTCGCCGTCGGTCGCCGTCGCGGTCGTCGGTCGTCGCCGTTGTCGTCGGTCGTCAGTCGTCGGTCGCGTTTTCGGTCGTCGGTCGTCGTCGTCGGTCGTCGTCGTCGGTCGTCGGTCGTCGGTGGTGTTCGGCAGTCGAGGGTCGGTCGTCGGCCGTCGGCCGTCGTCGTCATACATCGTCGTCGTCGTCGTCGGTCCTCGGTCGTTGATGTGGTCGGTCGTCGTCGTCCTCGTCCGTCGTCAGTTGTCGGTCGTCGTTCGTCGTCGTCGGTCGTCGTCGTCGTCGGCGATGTCGCCGTCGTCGTCGTCGTCGTCGTCGTCGTGGTCGCCGTCGGTCGTCGGTCGTCGTCGTCGGTCGTCAGTCGTCGGTCAAGTGTTCGGTCGTCGGTCGTCGTCGGCGGTCTTCTGTCGTCGGTCGCGTTCGGAAGTTGGGAGTAGGAAGTCGGTCGTCGGTCGTCGTCGGTCGTGCATCGTCTTCATCGTCGTCGTCGTTGTCGTCGTCGTCGGCCGTCGGTCGTCGGTCGCCTGTCGTCGGTCG